ATTATAAAAAATCAAAAAAATTTCTAATAATTTAAATAATGAAATTTAATTAAGAATAAAAGACCATTTAGATACGTTTCATTTAAAATAATATAAAATTAATTGGTACCCTATTTAGATAGATGAGTGTTAATACCTTTCTTGCATGGAGGTTAATTAATAACATATAAGTAAAGTTGTCCCCAAGTATGGACAACTTTTAATTGAAGGGTAGCTCATAATTAAATTGTCAAATCATATAAATATATAAAACTCAAATATTTTGTAATAAATGTAAGTGTTATACTCAAATTCTAAACTTATATTTTCTAATTTTATTACATATACACAATAGAATTTTAGTTGCCTAACATCATATGAATTCTTTACTTCTGATTTCCTTCTATTCATATTCTTTAAAACTATTATTTGTTAAAATTTATTGAAACTTTTCGTTTTCTAACATTTACATTTTTTACTTTTAATTTTCTTATGACTTGTAGTTTTTCATCTTCTTTTTTAGGGATAAGAGGGTTTTTAATTTTCTTATAACTTATGATTTTTCATATTCTTTTTTAGGGGTGAGAGGGTTATAAAAATGTATTTCATATGTATATTACATTTTCTTTTCCCAATCATGTGGTTTATTTTTTTTATTGTATTTTTATTTTTATAATTTTTATTTTTTTAATCATGATCTATGATTTTTATTTGGCATTTCACATTTTTTTAGTTGATTGGTGTATATTTTAGTATTTGCATTTTTGTTTTTCTTGTCATGATTCATTTCAAGTTTGTCTTTTGGCTAATTGGAATATGCTTGTTATTGTAAGATTTTTTTTTTAATTATAAGACTAGACAATGTATTAGCATAGAAAATATGGCGGTTGATAAAAAGGTATGTAAATAAATTTATTTTTGTTTTTATTTTCATTGCTTTGGTTTATTTTATCGTTTTTGTATTTACGTAAAAATTTTAAATTTATGATATTCTTTGGAATCGTTATGTATATTGATTGAGAAATAAGATTTGGCAAAAGGTTTATATTATATCAAAACTTTTTTTATTGTAAAAAATAAAGATAATTATTGGATAATTGTTATGAATGATATGATTCATATTATTACTAATACAACCATTGTAGAGATGCTTGATGAAGGTATAAATGTTACACAATATTTTTTTTTTGTTTGTAGGTTATAATTGTTTTGATGATGATTCAGCTTACATAAGTGCTTAATAGTTTTTTTAGTATTTTATTATGGATTTTGAGTTTTGTGCTTTTCTTTAAAATAATTTCTTATTTCAAATTTTTTTTCATGAGATGGTGCTATTGTTTGTATAAATTTATTGATTTTTGAACTTTCGGTGATAAGTTCGTAAATTGTATAGTATTATGCCTTCAAGATTTAAGGTTTTTTAATTTTTTTTCTATTGGCAATATCATAAGAGTGATGATTTATTTTTAAAAAATAAACATTTATTATTATTGAAAGTAAATATTATTTTAATCATTTTTTTCTTTAGCAAAAAATTTTATAAACATTAGTTTGTGGGACAAGTTTATTTCTGAATTTTAAGATATGCACTTAGTTTTGAGAAGCAAATATCAGGTTGTTATACTTACTTCTTTTATTGTTAAGAGTTTTCAAAATTAGTCAATGCATAAAAATTGCAAAATTAATTTTGAGCTGTTATAGTTATTTCTTTGATAGCTGATACTTAGTTTTTTTTTAATAACATTTTCACTATTTTGTTGATTCCTAATTTTTTTCATTGTGGTTATGATTTGATTTATTTAAAAATATTATAATTTTTAAGTTAATAGTTTCTTTGTTAATTTTATTAGAAATTTTCTTAAATTTGTAGTAATATTTGAGTTATACTGTGTTTTTTACGATAAATCCATTTACAAAATTGCATACTTCTTTTAATATTTTTTAGTCTAAAAGTTAAAAGTCTAATTGTTTTTTTGTTCTTTTAAAATCCATATCTTTATCTCTTAAATTTTTAATTGTATCTATTTAAATTTGTTTTATTTTTTTTTCAATCTTCAATTTAAAGATTTTTATTGTTTTAATTTCTTTTTTATTATTTTTGTCTTGATATAAAACTTAACTTTTAGCAATTAAGTCCTTTCTATGAATGGAAAGTGAGAAAGGTTAGCAATCTTTAATTTATTTTTTTGTTCTTTATAAAATTCATATTTTATTTTATTTTTATTTTTAAGATTTTTAGAGTAATTGTTTAGTTTTACTTTTTTATAGATGCAATGTTGAGAAAGATTAAAGATATTAATTTATTTTTTAGTTTCTAAAAAATATTTTTTTTATTTTGATTTTTAAGATACTGTAGAGTGATTTTTAAGGTTTTAATTTAAATAATTAATCTTATAGTTTTTGTATGAAAATATTTTTCTAATGGGACTATCAATGATCTGTTTATTTTTATGAATGAAAAGCTGAAAAATATTAAAGCTTTTAATTTAATTTTTTGGTTTCTTACAAAATGTTAAAACTAGCGCACAAAAAACATGCTATGGAGCTGCAACTCAGAATAGGCAACTAGCATTAGAACCAACCACACAACAACATCAACAATGTCACACCAAGCACTTCAAGAGAGTGGACAAAGTGCTTCAAACTCACATTAGATAAGAAATGGAAGGTTGTTAGGCATATAAACATTGGTGTTACAGACCCCAATAAGTTGATTTTACGAGGAGAGGGTAATGGCTACATGATAAGTGGTATCAGGCCAACCCTTGACTCATTTAACTTTATACCAAGAGCCACAATAGGTGTAAGCAGGGTAGCCAGTTTAGCCACTTAACAAGGGATTGAGGTAAAACACGATGGCAAAATTTGACCAATCAAGGACTCTAAAAAAAAGTGAGCAGGGTGATAGTCGTGACAAGGGTGTCACGAGACCGACTAGTAGAAAATGTCACGCCATTATTTATTTTTCTAAAAAACTATTAATAACATGTTCTTTTTCTATAAATGAATTTGTGAAGGGTTAAAGATTTTTATATTATTTATTGGTTTCTTATAAAATTCATTTTATATTTTTCGTATTAATTTTTAAGTTTTTATATTAAATAATTTTTCGTATGAATTACATTAGGTAAGTAAATTTATGCATCAATTTAATTAAAAATAAAAAATAAAAATTTAGCCGCATGTTGTTTTACAAGTTTCATGTTAAAGTTATTGTTTGATATTATGTTAGTTTATCTTTCTTATTTTTCACAATTTAGTTGTGATTTTATTTTTGATTACTTTTTGTATTAATTGTTATACTTCAAGTAGCTTTAATTAATTCATGTGAGCAAATAAATATCTATCAAAACTAAACATTTTAATTTCCACTTTTTTTGGTAATAAATTTCATTTATTTGTATTAATCATAAAATATAAAATTCATTTTTATGTTGGAAAATTTGTTATCAAGTTATAATTAAATGTTGGTCATATTTGAGGTGCCTTCAATTTATTATTATACCAATTTTAAATTATAATTATTATTTTTTACGTTCTTGAATTTATTTCTTCATCGGATATATTAATTTATTATTTATATTTGTTATTGATGGTTTGAGTGGTGCTATATGTTAAAGATATTAGTGTAATATATTTTCTTAATTATTACTTAATAATTTTATTGAAAAAAAATAATAGCTTGTACCTTATTGAACCATTTTAAGAGAAACATAAGATATATGTTGCGGATAACATTATATTATAATGTATATCATACAAGATAATATTTTTTAATTATATTTTGTCAAATTCCATGTAGATATGAACAAGAGAAAAAAAGTTTTACTTATTAAAATTTCTAATAAAAATTTTCATTTAATCATTTATTTAACACAAAAAATGATTTATTTGTAAGAGGATACAAAGATCTTTAACTTTCATGTTGTAAAATTTTGTAATACCAAATCAAAAGTTTCAAGCTCCTAATAATTTATGATTAATATTATTTATATTTTAAA